AACATTAATAAATCTTTATCGTGAGATTTTTCAAATTTCGCGTTTCCATAGTGAAATAAAGAGTTTATAGTTCTTGATTAAAACACAGTCATAGAGATTATAAAAAACGTATGAAAACGTGACTGTTTAGGCCAAAAAAGGTAATTTTACGCCATCCAATTGCGTTCGAGCTAGCGCCTCACCTGATTTGGTATGTAGGTGAGATAAACGCTGAGGTGGGGCGGCTGCGAAGCAGTCAGTCGCTCGACGCATGGGCGAAGGGTCGGTGCCCCGCCAGCCACGAGACAGGGAGACCGTCAGGCCCTCTTACCTAAATTCACGGCCCGTCGTGGATCTAGATAGTTAAATGAAGTACGTGCTTTTTCGTCACGTAGATATGTGAATTGTGCGATATTTAACTCGTGCGAGAGTGCGGAATAGTGTACGCGCGTCGAGTAGATATACGGTCTAGGATTCGAGCCGCGCATTCCTAGTTTGAGAGTTTCTCCTGGTTAATTGGCAGGATATTGTTATAATTGGGTCGTCGCGGTAGTGCCTTTTTGTGTTTTAGTTGCCTAGTTAAATTAATTTGCGTGTCAACGAGGCGTATTTTGAATCTTGTGCGACGTGTTATTCTGTGTCGAATTTACAATTTGTGATAAATGAATCCGGGACATTGAATATTGAACTTTGAACTACTGTCCGTTGCCGTGTCGGGTATTACGTGTTCAACTCTGCGATGAGTGTGGAATTAGGCCAATTGAAGTTAGTTAAATGTACAATGAAGCTAATAGACTGAATAGTGACAGTGAAGAAAGAAGTGGCCCGGCGTTGAAGCAGTCTGGAGCGATGCAGTATTTTGGGGCAGCCTGGAACTTGGCCGCTGCTAGTCGCCTTCGCTTGCCAAGGCCCCACACATTCACACATCACTGTACACCACTCGCTATCTACCATTATACACACTCACGGCCTGTCCAAGCCTTGGCGCGAAGTTAGCTCCTGATACAGGTAAGTACCTTTGCTTTCTAGTTTGCTCCCATATAGTTTATTGTGATAGAAAATTCCACACAGCCATATTGAGGCCCGACCTGCGTCTGCTCGTGAAGTCTTCTGCTGAATAGGCCCCGGAGGATTTGACTCTTGTAGGGGCAGCCGTAGGCCGTAACAGTAACTATTAGCAATAAACTTCCGTAGTATTCATTTAAAATATAAATTAGGAGCCTAGGAATAATATTATCAAAATTTCATTAGCTTTGAGAGTTAATTAAAAAATAAAAGTCTATCTTGCATATCAGTCAGTCTTCTTAAAGATATTCCAAGAAATTTTAAAACGATGATAGCAAGGCATCGCAGGCGCAAGGAAAATAAATTACAAAGGAGTTCACAGAAAATATTTCCTTGCATAAGCAGGCTTTTTAAGGTCGTCTCCCATAAATAAATATTTTACCCTATCGTTTTGACACTAAGTTTCACAGTAAATACGATTTAAGGTAATTAGTAGAATCATGGGCTACTTTGCGGAAATCCATTATAATGAGGTTATTATAACTGTCTTCCGCCAAATTTGTACCTCCCACGCTCCCTCGATGCAACCATTAACTACATAATACTGCTTTATAAAGACAAATTTGCAGAAGATAAATTTCATAATTTAGTGCATGAACACCTCAATAACCTTCCTCCGCGCAACGAAACGTGCCAGTCATGTTATTTGCTCTCACGTGAATATTAAACAGGTGACATTTATTTTATATTCAGTATAAATTATCTACATGTTATGCGACAAAAAAAGCTTTATTCTTCAGAAATTTTGAGAACTAAGGACACTTTAGTCTTTAGCATGTGCCAAGTGGTTTCCTTATTGTTGCATTTTGTTATTACTCATTCAAGATTAGAGTAATTTTTTAAAGATTTTTTTGTAATTTTGAAATCTAAATTGGAGTAAACTTTACGATCGATATATGTAGATGCCAATACAATTGTTTTTTGGAAACTTTCTGTCTGTCTGTCTGAACACGCATCAAGGAAAAACCTGAGAACCAATTTGGATGGGACTTTGACTATCGTATTACATAGAGATCGAACCATATAGAATAAATATAATTCATCACGCTTTCTATCAAAGAAGCTAGACAGTAGGCATATACATCTCCCTTTTGCAAAATGGTTTAAAATTTACATTGTCGTGAGACTGAAAAATTACATTATCCAATTTTGAGTTGTTTTTATACTATTCCTTTTTTTAATTTTTATGTGTATAGGAAAAATACCCAAACAGATAGATATTCAAACAGTGATTCGCACCACCTTCCTTCACAGTTAGCTGTCGTGGGTAAATCTTTGTTTCAGAGCGCACGAGGGATCTGTGACAGTAAACACCTGGCCGCCGAGCTCCAACAGTTCAAGCAAGTTTTGCACGACAAGAAACTTCGGGTCCCGTGCCTACGTCATAGCGAACGAGTGAAGCCGGCCACGGTCGAGCGAGTGCCATATGTCAGAGATGTCACTGACAAGATTGGCCATATCTTGTAGCGTGTTCCATTAAAGCATACTTCAAGACGCTGAAGAAGATTAGTCAGTTTTTACTATCAGTCAAGTGTAATGTCCCTCTGCAAGATGCAGGAGTTTACAAGTTTGATTGTGAAGTGGTCTCTCTTATAAAGAACAAACTAAAAGATCAATAAAAACCTGTGTTGAAGAATACATAGCTGATGTAAAGAATCGACGTTTGGTATCCTATAATTAATAAAATTAATTCACAACCCAAACGACTGCAAGACTTCAAGATAGATCGAAACAAAAATTAATAATTTTATTCTGGAGGTAGCCGTGGTTAACTCTGACATTGAAATGTCAAGAATCTCAGTACGCCATGGCTATGGGTGCTGGTATGTGCTCTAAACGTCGGGAATATAAAATAAGTTAATATACATGATAAAATTCGTAAAAACTAGTTTTATTTAAATTTGTAGTGTTTGTGTAAATGTAAGAAATCATTAGTAACTCTGTGTTATTATGATTTTGCCACAATAGCTCACTATGCTACGACTTGAAGAGAATGCCAACAGGCATAAAGTTCACCCATTGTTACCTTAGTTATATGATGTAACAATAAAGAATAAATAAATAATACATCTTCTATACGTAATAGTAATTTAAAACACTTTGCTGTGCCGTGTAGTTGCGGAGTAAAAGAATCACGATATCATTTCATGGATGTCGTTAGTGACGACAGAGGGAAACTGAAACAGGAATTGGGCAGCAGCATCGTCCTGATAACAAATCAACATAATAAATCCTGCGGCTACATACAGGCTAAATCCTCCTTAAAGACAACTTATGCAGTAGATGCTATGACTTCTGCAGCTATGTTTAAATAGCTATATAGCAGCAGACAGATAGCAGACAGACAGCTAATAGGCCGTAATGCATTGAATACAATATTGGACATAGGAATTTCCAAAAAATGCATTAATTGGTAGATTTATCGATATTTATCAAGCAAGCAAGAGAGGTTTGATATTTATTTAGGTATGTTTTATTCATGTGCACATCAATATTTTCTCCTTACTGAACATCAAGAATTGACTATGAAGAATTTTATGACTCTGGATCCCTAGTTGGATTCGGCAACCTTTACATGGATTCCAATCTTTTCAATCGATGAATTGGTAGAGAACTATTTTCCTTGCAGGAATGTAATGTGACGAGATTGATTACTTTAAATCACACAATAAAAATAAAAAAAATATAGGAATAACTGACAATAGATCGCTAAGTTATTGAACACCTCAATAACCTTCAGCTCCGCAGCGACACGTAGCGGACATGTTATCTACGCTCATGTGAATATTGAACGTGTGTGGTGACATTTCCTTTATGATAAATATAAATTAGCTTCATAAACTCCAATCAAAAGCATTTTCAAATGTAATCTCATGGGGAAATTGTTTATTAGAACACTTGAAAATAAAGTGCTCTGGTTTATTCGGTTTGGTATTCTGTGGAATACCCCGTAGCGTGTAATTATATTGGCTTCATATTCTTCCAACAGGATAACAAAAGTGTTTTCACTGCTGGTTGGCGACAAATATAAATTAAAAAGAACTACCTACTAGGTGAACTCTTTAACCCAAAAAATGTAACCACCTATTCATCCAATTGACCATCGGTTTATTAGAAAATTCGTTATTAAATTTTTCTTTTTCAAAATACATATTATAATAAATTTTAGTGCACACATACGAATTACTATGAGAAGTTTTAAATTTTATACAATATTTACGTTGTCATCTATTTATTAGCAAAATTCAAAGTTCTCAATAAAGTTCACGATTCATCATTAAAATGGTTTACTCCTTCCGCTAATACTCCACAGAAATGGCTTCAAGGACAATTATTTCTAATATAAATCTTATTAATTACTTCTGCGGAATAAATGTTGTGAAAGGTAGTGAAAGTTTAGGTTTGTAGTAAATTGTCAAAAAATAATGTTTACTCCAGTTTTTAAAAATTCTAGTTTATTAATTCATTACAAGCCTATCAAAAGTACACTGCTGAACATAGGCTTTTTCATAGTTTGTATCGTAAGGGAGATATTAGCTATAGATACTAATCGTAACAAACCGCAGTTTCTTATTGTTTTAAGTCGTTATGAGGAAGATGCTGCTGCCCAACTTCTACAGCCTAATAAAATGGGATTTGGATATATCTTATATATAAGTTCTTATTTTGAAATTATTTTCATTTAATTTTAATTACCGAAACTCTACGTTTAGAAGTTCTTAATGCCCGAATATACAGTTTTTAAATGGATGTATGTTGTAAGCACAGTCTATAAATCCATACAGTCGTCCGACGAAGACGTCTAGACGGGGCAATCGTGCGGGGTGTGAGGGGTGAGACGCGGGAAGGACGGGCCCGAGTAGCTCATGCCAATCGTATTAGGAGCTCGGGACACAACTTCCAGGGTTAACACGCGCTTGCTTTGATTATTTTTAGTGTTGATAATTATAATTAAAATGGTTCATACGACGTGTGCAGTGAGAGATTGCAAGTCGTCATCTCGCATAAATAAAGACCTGCGATTTCACCAAATTCCGCACACGGAAGAAAGGTAAATCAATATTGTTATTATTTTTTACATTATGTATATTTTGTCATGTCAACGTAAAAGAAATGGCGGGTAAAAAAATAGGTAATAGTCGCTGGGCATTACTGATTGATTGATTTTTTTTTCTTCATCTAAATCGTGTGGTTGGGCTGGCTAAGGTTTTATACCATACTATAGTGCCTCGTCTTCGGTCTTTCGAAGTTTTTTTTTATAAAATATTAAGATTTACGGGTCAATTTTTAGGTTTGTCGGTGTGCTAATTACGAAAATAGCTTTTATTTTTAAATCCAAGATGGCGGTAATTTTTTAATATATGTATGATATGAATGTCAATTTCATGGTTTATTGGGGTGATGATTACGAAAATGCCATCCATTTTTATATCCAAGATGGCGGACATTTTTTTAATAATATGATATGGGTATCAATTTCGAGGTTTCTTGGGGTGCTTATTACGAAACCGGCATCCATTTTCATATCCAAGATGGCGGACATTTTTTTAATAATATGATATGGGTATCAATTTCGAGGTTTCTTGGGGTGCTTATTACGAAACCGGCACCTATTTTCATATCCAAGATGGCGGACATTTTTTTTAATAATATATGGGTATCAATTTCGGGGTTTCTTGGGGTGCTTATTACGAAACCAGCATCCATTTTCATATCCAAGATGGCGGACTTTTTTTTTTTAATAATATGATATGGGTATCAATTTCGAGGTTTCTTGGGATGCTGATTACAAAAATGGAATTTATTTTTAAATCCAAGATGGTAGACATCATTTTTTTAATGTTAGGGATGTCAATTTTGAGGCTAGTGGGTGATAATTATGAAAATGTATTAATAAGTATTGTATTTAAAAATTTCAGATGCAAATCATGGCTGAAAGTTATTGGAAGACCTAATTTAGTTGGAAGAACTTTCAAAAGCATAAAGAATACGTACATTTGCAGTTTGCATTTCGAAAAGAGTATGTACGGGAAGAAATTACTTAAGAAAACAGCTATACCAACGTTATTTTTACCAACCAACGACTCGATCCATACACAGACTGATCCTAAAGTCAAAATTTTAAGTGATGTAATATTGGAACTCTCCGATAAACGCCATGTTTTAATACCAAAAATAGCTCGAAGAGACCATGAATTAGTAGGTTCTTCATCACAAAATTCAGAACACACAAACACTAAGAAATATATAGGTATAGATTTTAGTTCTCAGACACCAGCACGATTGACTGACTTTACTCCCCGAAAAAGTAAACTTAGAAAACAATTGTTTAAAATAAGTAAAAAGTTAAAATGCACTACTAAAAATATGAAGATGTTACCGCGGAACAGTTTTTGAACGGTTGTGATAAATTTTTATCCCCCAAGTTAAGCGCGATTGTAAAGGCGCAAATTTATTTAAAACCCCATTGTAAAAACAATAGATATAGCAGAGAATTCAAATTGTTTTGCTTAAATATGTATTACACAAGCCCTCTCGCTTATCGATTTTTATCGAAGACTATTTGTTTACCGTCTAAATCAACTTTAGCTAAGATGTACCTACCTATGCAAACTAAAGTTAACCAGCAAATGTGGGATATTTTATCAGCTATAATCAAGCATATGTCGTCATCTGAAAAAGAATGTGTGCTTTGTATGGATGAGATGAGTCTGAAATTAAACTTATCCTATAACAGCAAGGAAGATAAAATATTGGGCCTCCATGAAGTAGATGGGCAACAGCAACCTGTTGCCGCAGGGTATGCTTTTACCTTAATGCTTCGAGGTATAACATCAAAATGGAAACAACCTATTGGCTTTTCTTTCATCTCCAGCAGTAAAATTGATGATCAATTAAAAACATGGATAATTGCTACTGTGAAACGTCTTTTAGAGCTTGGCTTTAATATACGAGCTTTCGTGTCAGATCTAGGATCAGATTTCTTGGCATTTTCAAAAACATTAGGGAACTCTAAAGAAAGCTCATGTTTTGAGATTGGTGGTCACAACATTTACTACATATTTGATGTTCCACACTTAATGAAGTGTGTGAGAAATAATTTAATAAACTATAATTTTGAGTTTGATGGCAAAACTACTCGGTGGGAGGACATAACAAACATGTATGAACTAGATAAAATGAAAGATATGCGATCAGCTCCTCGTTTAACTGATTCACATTTACAGCCAAATAGTTTCCAAAAACAAAAAGTTCGTTTTGCCGTTCAAGTATTTAGCAATTCTGTAGTAGCAGCTTTTAAAAATTACCAATCATCGGGTACTCTACAAGTTGATGATGGTACGATATTTTTTATTGAAATGATGAACAGCCTCTTTGATTTACTGAATTCAAGCAACATCGACTCACCAAAAGCCTACAGTAAACCGTATAGGAGTACTACTCTCCAAGAGGAATTGCTAGATAAATCTCAGCGTCTGTTTAATAGCATGAGAGTTAAAAATAAAAAGAATGGCCGTGACGTTACCAATATCATAAAATTTATAAATGCTTTCAACATAACAATAAACTCATTTCGGCAATTATATCAAGATATGAAGTCTGAGGGATATGATTACTTACTCACACGAAGAATTAACAATGATTGCTTAGAAAATTTTTTTGGGCTTGTGAGGCAAGCTGGCGGAAATTGTCGGGAACCCTCTTGTATACAATACACCAGGGCATTCCGAAAAATGTTTCTATGCCAAATTCTAAATTTATCAGACGCTACAAACTGTACCGAAGATTTTGATAGCATACTAGCCCAATTTATAGAATTCGCCAAAAATACACCTCAAACTCAAGTTTCTATCCAGGATCCACCTCAAACACAACCTAAAGAGAATCTTACAAATATGTACGACATTCCAGAAAAAAATGCATTCCACTATATCTGCGGTTATTTGTTGCGAAGGTGTGTTGAAAGTCACAAGCGTGACTGCCTATCGATAATTAGTTACGCATCATCATATGACGATGAATCAAATGAGAAAAATTTATACATTCGTCTGAGAGCTTATGGTACTAGCCGTGATCGCTTCGGAGGACTACAAGTCCCTCCAGATGATTTTGTGGATTACATACATAGCTTGGAAACAGAATTGATGTCGATCTTTACTTTTACTGGAAACATTGGGTTCAAATTGTTTGAGCATTTGAGACTAATAGAATTCAACACCAAACCATGTGCATGCTTCCCAATAAATTATTTGTTAAATTTATTTATTAGGATGAGAATTTTTTATATAATTAAGTTCAATAATAGAAATTTCAAATCCAGTATATCTAAAAACCGAAAATATTTGTCAGTTGCCCATTTATAATTCCTGATTTGGAAATTAATTAGTTATAATATCCTTTTTTTTTTCTTATCGATTATTTAGTAACAAACCAGGTGTCCATATAGTATAGTAGTAGTAAATATTTGAAAAATCAAAAATGCACGCCTCATGAGCGTTTCTTTTAATTTTAATGAAAAAATAAATAACTTTTAAAAAGTGTTCAGTTAAATAGCAAAAATCAATAAGCACCCTCCTTAGAATGTATGGAATCTTATTTAATACTATATATCTCAATCTATTGCTCACATTTCTATTAAGCGAGAAGACGCACAGACAAACGGGCGTCAGTCCATATATTTTTTCAATTCCAGTTTTTGTTATGTAATCTAAAGTGAATCAATTATAAAATAAACCAATAATTCAATGTCTGTAGTCATTGTAACGTTAATAATAATATGCATTTAATGTCTAGCTAAGAGTATGAACGATTTTATGTAACGAAACTGAGGTATGGCCAGATATCGAGAGTAGAGCACTCCCTCACGTTGTGAGGCGTGCATTTAGCGTTTTGAGTACTTTCAGGAAAAATATTAGAACAAATTATTACTTATTCTTTATTTTAGTAATCATATTGTTGATCACGATGTAGATCTAAAATAAATAACTAAATTAGCAAAAGTTGTTAATTTGTAACAACCCTGACCTCATTACGCTGTCTAGACGTTGTCGGCATTTACCACGAGATCAAAGGCGTCGTTTACTTTCATACGATTTTAAGTTCTTACTATAGTGAACTTATTTGTCAAGCTTAACTCGGAAGGAGATATTGATGATGTTTCGGAAATATAATGAAGTCCGCCTTAACTCACTCGAGCGTGGCGGAATAGATGCCTCATTAATCTCACAAGTATGATAGGAGCCTTGTGCCTGTGTTATGCTAGTCTGCGTTACTACGTACGTACTTTTCAACGTATTTTAACATCGAATTACGAGCGTTTTCAGCCTCCGTAGAATTATTCTCAAAACAAAGCCTCAAGCATCCCTGTAGTAATAATGAACCCTCTTCGGCTTAAAATCTTAATAAACTACTCTCTATATAGGAGAGCTATGTTCTTTAAATGTAATAAATTCCGTACGGTCTAGAAACTCGAGAAACACCGTTCCTCTAACATAATTAACGAGGTTTAAGCCACGGCTTTGTTATGATCGATTTTCTATTTAAAAGCGTCAAAGCTTCTTGCGTTTAAGTAGTATCAATTAGTTGCTTCTCCTTTCGTCGTGTTTATTTAAAGATAACGTAAACATCAATATGTTTAATTATATGTGATTTATTATTGCAATTAAAATATTAATACAAAATGTTACAATGGAGGAGTGGTCTCGTACCCCTAAGCTAAGTACCGTTCAACCTGTGTACCGTCCTACGAATAACATCTATGTTGTGAATTCGCAAAGTTAAAATTAATGTTTTGGTGTAAAAAGTGGACTATAACATTTTGATCGGTTATCAATGTGTAAAATAAACATCGAGTGAACTAAATTTGCAATAGACTAATCTGTAAACATTAATTATGGTCCAAAAATCAAAGTTGTAAAGTGCAGCGTAATATGAATTTACCCACATTACGTTAGTTTTTACAAAGTGCAATCATCTTATCCGAACGCGTAAGCGTGTTCTAAACACGCATCACTTAAGACCTTCTTCTCGCGAACTCAACTAAACGCGCAAAACAAAGCAGCGTTCGGGGATTTTATTGCTGTGCGAATTAAACTGTGAATACTAACTATAACTCATTCCTTGTGGCCGTTACGGATCATTTGTTGCCGTGCACTTTTTAAGTTATATTTTTTAGCATTAAAATAAAATAAAATGACTTCGTTAAACCTGGAATGGGGGTGTTGTACTGCAGGCAATGAAGATGACAATTATGTAAAATGCTCAAAATGCAAAGCAGCTTATCACTATCTATGTCTCTCTGCGGGACAGAAAAAGCTTACGCCCACTAGCGTCCCTAAGGATTGGTTGTGCCCTAAATGCAGATAATCAACACACAAGGGGTCCAAAAATGACAACACACCAATTCGTCAGCTGCAGAATGTCACCGTGCGCCCTTCAAAAAGGCCAGCTATGTCGTCTCCACCGTGTAAACAAGACTCCCTTGTAACGCGTGAAGGAATCCGCGAAATTATGGAAGAAGTTCTATTAAAGCATATGGAGGATTTTAAGATGCATTTTTGTTCTGAATTAGCTAGAGTGAAAGAAGAAGTATCTAGCATAAATAAAGCTATGAATTATATGAGCGACCAAGAGGATATTTTGTTAAAATATAATGAGAGTCATGGTCTAATCAAAACGCTGCAAAAACGCGAAGGTGAAATGCAATCGAGTATTAAAAATCTCACTGCTCGCATAAACCAGCTAGAACAAAATACTCGTAGCAAGAATATGGAAATACAATGCGTTCCGGAGAAAAAATCAGAGAACTTAATAGGCATCGTAAAGCAACTTAGCAACGTAGTGGGGCTTGACCTTCAAGACGAAAACATTATCCATGTTACAAGGACAGTCAAGGTCAATCCTGAGAGTAAACGGCCACGTTCCATAATAGTAGAACTAAGTAATACAAGGGTCCGGGACTCTTTTCTGGCTGCGGTCATAAAATTCAACAGGCTGAAGAGTAACAAGAGTGACAAGCTGAATAGTACTCACCTTGGCTATTCGGGCCCCACTTCAGCAATTTTCGTCATGGAACACTTATCCCCTGTTAACAAATCACTACATGCTGCATCCAGGCAGATTGCTAAAGAAAAGGATTATAAATACGTGTGGGTGCGAGGCGGACGTATATTCATGCATAAAAGTGACGTTTCAAGGTACATATACATTAAAGATGATAGTGTTCTTTCTAATTTTAAAATAAAGCTTCATAAGCATGTTTCATTGGACTTAGTACACTTAATGGATAGTTTATCTGTCTACTATAAAAAATACCAGAGGTCTAAGGACCAAAACTCATATGTTTTATAATAAATTATTATTAACAAATTATGATATCATTGTCTTAAGCGAAACATGGCTGAATGAAAGTGTATTAAGCTCCGAACTATGTGATAACCGCTACGAAGTCTTTAGAAGGGATAGGCAATCATCTGGGTTCCATTTTCAAAAGGACGGAGGGGGAGTGCTCATTGCTGTTTCTAATAAATTTTCAGCAACTCGAATGATTAATTGGGAAAGTCAATGTGAAGATCTTTGGGTTTTGGTAAAGGTACCATAATTAGATTCTTCAAAACACATAGGAATTTGTGCTGTTTATCTCCCTCCTCCAGTACAACAATTTATGCTAGAACAGTACATAGAAAACTGTAACTCTATTCTTGATAAATTTGAAGGTAAAATTTGTTTGATTGATTGAAATTTGTTTGATGAAATTATGGATAAGTTCTACACCGTACTAAATAATATTATTAAGATTCATGTGCTGTGTACTGAGTTTAAGCAGAACAAATATCCTCCGTGGGTTAATAAATCACTCCTACGACTGCTTCCAGAAAAGAACAAATATAGCAGGTATAAAATATATAACAATCCTTTAGATGAGGTAGAATTTAAATTACTTAGCAAACGATGCGAAAAACTGGAACAAAACCTATATAATAATTATATTGAAATGACTGAAAAGACGCTCAACAAAAATCCCAAACACTTTTGGTCGTTTATAAAATCGCGAAAAGAGGGAAGTAATTCTTATCCGAATATTATGACAGATGGGGTTATTTATGAATCCGACGAAACAGCTATATGCAACTTATTTCTTGAATCATTTTCGAAATCATTCGCTATAACAGACTCAAGAACTCAGAATGTAGCCAGTCCAACTTCTACTTATCTCAACTATATAGCACAAAATAGCTTCAGCCTTGGGACTCGGGTCTCAATACTAAAAAAACTACAATCACTCGATACAAATAAAGGCGCAGGCCCAGATGAAATCCCACCTATTTTTATCAAAAACTGTGCTATAACACTGGCTGTACCTTTAAAATACATTTTTAATTACTCCTTATTGACAGATGCCTTTCCAAACGTTTGGAAGATAGCCAAATTAGTTCCAATACATAAATCTGGCGACAAGAACTTAGTATCGAATTATCGACCAATCTCAATTTTGTCAACAATGGCAAAAGTTTTTGAATCTGTTGTTTGCCCCTCAATACAAAGCCATTTTCAGCAATACGTCAGCGTACATCAGCATGGTTTTTCAAAATCGAAATCCACTTGCACAAACATAGTCACATTTGTCGAAGGAATTGCTGAAGCTCTAGATAAACAGGTGGAAGTGGACGTTGTGTACACAGACTTCAGCAAGGCCTTCGACAAAATACCCCACTTACCTCTTATAGACAAACTTGCTGCCTATGGCTTTACAGGAATTTTTTCCAACTGGATTAATTCATATCTAACGAATAGACGTTTCTTCGTTGTTGCTAAAGGCTATAAGTCTGAAGCTCACAAGATAACCTCAGGAATTTCTCAAGGATCCCATTTGGGGCCAATTCTTTTTAACGTATATATCAACGATATGCCCAATAGTTTCCTTTCATCAACGCCCTATCTATTCGCCGATGATTTGAAAATTGCCAGAACTATTAAGTCCCAAGCTGATGTTCTTATGTTACAACATGATTTAAATAGGTTATACAATTGGTGCTGTACAAATGGGATGGAATTAAATATAGATAAATGCTTTTTTATTAAATTTACACGCAAACATAGTAAAACTAAATCCAAATATTATATTGATGGTAAACCATTAAAAGAAGTTGATAGAATTAAGGACCTGGGAATAATTCTAGATAACAAATTAACTTTCGTACCACATATTGAAAGCATTGTTAGGCGCTCATCTAATATGCTGGGTTTTATTATTAGAAACAGTAAAGTGTTCAAAAACTTACAGACACGTATCACTTTGTACAAAGCACTAGTATGCAGTCTTCTTGAATACTGCCCTGTTGTATGGAGGCCACACTATGCCACG